TTTTAGATGTATGAATTTTGAATGTATTTGATAAATTTAATAGATAAATCATATGCGACACCAGACTACCACAAATATAAGACTTGTATGCCTTCCAACCTTCCAATTATTCTAAGAAAAACAATTTATTAAATTCATTATTTAATTAAATATTAATTTCAAACTCCATTAAATATTCTGAAAACTCTCCAAAAAATTCATTTGCACCCTCAACATAAATAAAAATAAAATAATATTTTTCTATAACAAAATTACTATTTAGAAGCAACTAATCAAGACTTATTTATCATCACTGCCAAGCGCACAAATGATTAAACAAGTAAATAAAGCATGCATTCCAGTTAGTGATAGTCAACACAAACACAGCTAGTGAGATGAAGTACTACTAAGCATAACAATAATAAAGCTTTTGTCGAAACATAGTAAAGAGAAGTGACCAAATAGGTTGATTTAAGCATAAAGCAGCAATTGTTATTTCTTCCCACCGCTCTTCTTGAGCCCAGCCCCTCCAAAAGTACCCTTCTGGGAAGCCTTGGCCTTCAAGTCCTTCAGTGCCTGTATCAAAAAACAAAGAAGAATATTCAATCTTTTAGAACTCGAGTTATTTGAATTATCAAAAGGTTCACATAAAAATATACCTTCTCCTCATCTTTCTTCTTCTGGAGATGAGCAAGGTCGTCCTGAAAGACATGGAGGGCACAGTAAGGTCACTGAAACTAGAATAACAAAGCTGGCTCCAAATACAAAGTAAAGAAATCATGGAAAGTAGTTATATCCAGAGAGTTGGAATAAGACTATCCTGCGGTAATTTACAACTCCTTTTTGACACTTTGGCTATAGATGATTGGAAGCAAGTTTGCACCTTGAAATTTAGGCTTCATTTGAGACAATTCTTTTATTGCTTTCTCAGAAACTTTTTGGTATAAAAATTTATTAAAAACAGTAAAAAAATAGTGGTCAAAAGATGCCCCATAAAAAATCTTAGACTTCATTTGAGATGGCTTTCTTTATGCTTCTTAAAGCAGCTTTTTAGTACAAAAATTTTAAAGTCTGTTTTAAGAAGCAATAAGATAGCCGTCCCAAATGAAACCTTGGTCTAAAAAAAAAAAAAAAAAGAGTTTTATT